GGGTAAAGTGTCGAAGGTGGCGGAATCCTAGCATTAGCCGCATCGCTCGCGGCCTCAGGAAGGGCTCTTGCCAAGCAGTCGCTTGCACCCTACATCCATCCCCCTCCCTTCCTCCCTCCCTTCCTCCCACCCGCCCGTCCTCCAGATCCAATGCCTCACGGATCGCTTGGAAGTCCTTCGGCCCATTCTCAAGCTGATCTGGAAGCGGGAGGAATTTCTCCGAGAGCGTACAGAGGTATGTTCCATCGCCAGAAAATTACCATGCACACGCAAGCCACAGCAACAAAAAGAGGGAAGGGACGTAAGCTCAGCACGTGCTTTTTCTTTCCCCCCCCGCCCTCCCTCCCTCCCCTCTTCCCTCTCCGGGGCCTGGCTCAGATGGAAGAGCTGCAGAAGAACAGCAAGGCACGGTTGACGGACCGGGGAGGGAAACGGATCGAGGAACTGATGCGCATCGAAAAAATGGACAAGCACGTGAAGAAAGATCTCCCCATCTTGACCGAGCGGTTGCGAAAACGTTTGTTGGAGTGGGAGAAAGCTCCGGAGGAAGGGAACGGGGCGCCTTTCCTCTACCAAGGGATGCCCTACCTGGACACGATGGAGGCGGAGGAGGACGCCTGGATCCGACACCGGGAGGCCCAACGGCTGGAGAAGGAACAGAAGAAGAAAGAGGAGTTGGAGCGGTACCGCGACAGCCATGGGGGGCCGGGCGGAGGTGTGGGGGGAGGGCGGGAAGGAGGGCGGGAAGGTGGCGGCAACTTGTTGCCGCGTGCCTCCCTGATGGGCAGTGGGGTGAAAACTCCGGGAAAAAAAGCCGGAAGCGTCCTTCCCTTGTCCGCCAGGAAAGGGGAAGGAGGAAGGGGAGGAGGGCGGGTCACCCCCAGCAAAGTCCTGGGAGGGGAGCGCGGAGGACTCAAGACGCCGGTGGCCGCCGTGAGAAGAGCCGTGGCAGCGGCGACGGCGGCCACCGGCGCGGCGTCGGGGGCGGGGGATGAGAACCTGAGTGTGTGTAGCGGGACGTTCTCCGAGGTCTCTTCCTCCTCCTCCTCTTCCTTCGCGTGAGGAGGGGGGGGAGGAGGAGGCAGGGGAGGGAGGGAGGGAGGGAGGGAGGGCGTGACGGGGGGTGTACAATAGGAAAGCAAAGCGTGCGAGCCAGCGGCTGGGGAGGGACCAAGAGAATGAAAAGTGAATTGATGGTGCCTGTGTTTTCATGTAATGCCAAAGACCAAAGAAAAAGGGGGCCGTGACACCCGCCGCCGCCGGCCTCGGAGACAAGCGAAGCACGTCCTGGGACCCTGCAGGGAGAAAGGGCTTCTGAAAAAAGAAAGAAAAGGTGCGTGCACTGTGCTTCCGCCAAAGCAAACAAAATTGCTTCCCGCCAGCCCGGCCCACACCCATTCTTTCTGGGACGCAGGCCTTGTCTGTCCTCCATTTGTTGTATCTTCTTCCCTGCTCCTTTCCCTTGGTACCTCCGGATGGGCTACATGGCCTCCCTCCCCTATGGTCGTCGTCGAACGTCATCGAAAGCCACCAGCCCCTCTCCGACGGGCCAAGCCATGCGCTGCTGCAATACAGACGCCCGACCTTCCTCTTCTCGTCGCGTTTTTTCCCTCCTCGTCCACCCCCTTGTTGCTATCCGCCCTCCCGTTACTTCTTGGACTTCTTCTCGTTCAAGACTCGCTTCACAATCTTTTGCTCCTCGATTAAGAACGCGCGCACAATCCTGTCCAAGGTGAAAATAATGGAAGGAACAAGGCGTTAAAAAATGTCACTAATACACCTTCAAGCCTTTCTTTTCTCCGCTTTCTCCTCTTCATCTTCCTCTTCCTCCTCCTTGTCAAAACCATCCTGCAGATTTTAACCCAGCGTCAGAACGAAAGACTAATTATGTGTTTTGCTTCGCTCACCGCTTCCTTTCCAGGAACGCGTCTCACGAGTGCAGAGGTAGGGATTCTCATTCATCATTCCACTTCATCCTCCTTCAGTCCCTCCTCTCTCCTTCTAACCCTCCTCTTCCCTCCTCTCCTTCCACCACACCTACGCACCGACTTCGGACGCAGGAAGCGCATCGCGATCCACCGTAAGCCCTAGATACCGTGCGCTCTCGCTTGTGTAGGTTCTTGTATTCCTGAGGGTATGAAAAATGCGGAGGCAGGAGGGGAGAGGGAGGGTGACTACAACGAAAGTATGGCCAGAAAGCGCTCCATTTTCACTTCGCCCTGAGTACATTGCATGGTCCGCCAGAATGAAGTCAACCGAAAGCCAGATGTCATGTGCTAAAAACGCAAATCAGACAGAGTGTGAGGTAGAAGAGGGGCTGGAGGCAGACGAACTTCCTCCTTACCTTGGTTTTGAGGTGCTTGATGCCTGGCAGGGCAATCTTGCAGTCACCACAGTGAGGGCCGCGCGTTTTCTTCTTAATTTGATGAAGAGTCAGTCGGCCACCTAGAATGTCGCAAAGTGAGGTGTGCTCAGGGTTTTAATATCAAATTCTTAGGCATCATGACGGACACCCTTTCCTCAAGAAGCGTACCTGGAGTCTTGACAATAACACGCCCATTTGACCTGGTCGCGTAAGCATGACGCCGTTGGTAAGTGACTCGCGTGTCCTTGCCCATGGTACAATGTCTTGGACTGATGTAAATGGTGGGTTGGTGAATATGTTAGGAGGAACGGTGAGCGCTCTCGCTAGCCTAGAGAAAAAAACATAGCAGAAGGGGGGGGCTCTCGATGGCTGGAAGAAATGCAAATAGTACGAGTGCATCCATCCCTCCGGTCACAGCCCCTGACCATTCCATTAACTAGACGCAAATTATCGCATTCCTTCCTCCCGACCCCGAGACGACCGACACACAAAATCGCACAGGACAGTGTGCACATAATGGTGGTGGTGAGAGCCACACAAGGGAAAAAGACGCTCTCGGTCCACACGATTACTTCCTTTTCCACCATGCCAAAGGAAAACCATTTTTAACCCTGAATTTTGGACGTTAAATGCCCGAATAAAACGGCACATTTGATGTGTTTTTTTTAATATCGAGTAGCTTGAGGGATAGTGATGCCGTCGTTGGTCTACTTACGTCTTGAATGTTTAAGAGTTTCAGACAAAGTGCAAACTCTTTCAATGCGACATCCAGCATGAGATTTGCTCTTTGTACGGTCAAGGCACAGCCTGAAATCCGATATAATGACACAAACAGTTATGCAACCATGTTGTTTCAAAGGTAATTCAGTAATGCTTACACGAAAAAAAGGGTCTTCTGCTGACACTGTACAAGAGTCGTGAAAGGATCGGAAATATAAAAAAGTATTTTCTCCAACTCAATATCACGGTAGCTCGCCTTGGTTTCCACACTTCTATTCTTTCTTTGCAAGATTTAAGAAGTTTGAATGACCCCATCTCCACTTCCAAGCGCTGTTGCCCGATACATACAAGCCTTTAGTTCGCCTTCCCCTCGCCCTTTTCCAAGCATGGATCGGGAGAACTGTTAGAAATAGGGTTCAGTTTCAAGCGTCGCTTTCTATCCTCCCACAACATGCGTTTCCACAGAGCTTGAGTATTGAGTAACGAAGCTTGAGGCTAGCTTTGCAGAGCCTAGTGGGCAGCCTGGCGGGCCCGAAGCTTGCTGTAGTACTCCTTAATCTCCTCACGTTTCTTCAATGCGCGTCGGTGCGTCCCCAGGCGCCTCTTGGCGAATTTGTACACCTATAGATGCGAAAGGTAGATAGAAAACACAACTTGACATGAGCATGAAAGCCTACACGATTGAACATAGAGCACGGGTCCCACTTGAGACAGGGAAAGACGAAAAGCACTTCAGTGCTCTAAAGATGTCAAAATATCTCGAGATTAAAAAGTCAAACAGAAAAACCTGCAAATTAAACAAACATGCGTATGTCATAATGCTCAATCAATATCCAAAATTAATCTACGAAAGCCCTCCAGACTGCCTACCTTCTTCTCAGCGCCCGAGCCACCAGTCTTGATCACGTCCAGGATGCGCTTCTCGTAGGGCATCAGGCCCACAACATCCCGAACAACCTCGCGTACAAGCTTGACTTTCTTGACCAGGGTCTGCAGAGCACAAGATGGGAAAGGTGAAAAGGGGTGAGAGGTCTCTACGGGTAGGCTGCTCTTTGTTGTTTCGCAGCACCGCCCCAGGAAAAAGTATCGGAGGTGGTCAAAACTGCCAGAAAAAGCTTACTTGTCCCTGATAATATTCTACACATTGTCTGTGTGCTCTCTCTTTTTGCTCACTTCGTCTTGGATTTCCAAATTCCCACAACCAAACTTACCCCCTTGCGACCCGCTGGCCTTTTGGGTACCTCGAGCTTCTGCACCGGGTAACCCTTATTAATCCCACGAATGGTTCCAGTGCTAGACATGGTAGACTGTTTAAAGCGTGTCGGGAAATGTATTGGACATGCGATGAGGCCCTCCGGTATCAGAGAGAATTGTGAAGAAGAGAACTTCTCCAGTGTTACCATGAAAGAGCGAGGAAGGGGCCGCATAATGGTATCCGTACATCCCTATAACCTGTCCAAAATGCACCTTCCACGTCCACAATCCCACCATCAACGCACATACCACGATTAAATGGCATGGAACACCTTGCGCACGCCCCAGGAGCGCTGGGTAGCCCCAAAGAGGGTGGATGGCCATGGCCCTATCTCCTCCATCCCTTCCGCCCCCATAGCCTCATCCTATCTCCCCCCCCGCCCCCCGCCCCTCGGAACAAGCGTCTCCTGTCATACTTTGCGTTGACTTCGATCCAAAAGCCGGGCGTGACCTTCTCTTTTTGATTCGATGACCGGGCCCTGAATGTTGACCGCGGAGAATGTGGCATACCAATTGACTTTTCGTCATGTGTTACTAACTGGGAAAAATATCATTCACATTGTCAGGGGAAAGTTTGTTGCCATTGCCCACTGTTCGGTGAGAGACATCACGTGCTGTAAAAGCTGGCTTTGCTCGCGCTAGCAGCGTCTCATAAGAGGCTCAGGTTGGCCCGGAGGGCCGTGCCCTATTAGTCTGCATGGTCAACATGAGGTCAAACGAGGCAAAGCGGAGCCCGCGGTCGAATTTACGAGGAATATTCAATCTAGGCAGAGATGCACGGATAAGCGGACTACTGGCCTTGCTCACCTCCAGCTGGTTCCTTGACGGTGTGGCATTCCATTCGCCTTCTTTTCATTCCTGCAGTAGGGGGCATGCCAGATGTTTTACGACACAGCCAGCTAAAAAGGTGACAATGGAGATGGTGACCGGGCATGGCAGCTCGAGCCCTATCCCTCCCGCTCGTGCCCACCCTCCCAAGCGTCTCCCAGGTCGTCGTCCCCCGCCCTCGACACAGCACCGCAACCTGCATGGTGGGGGTGGACTGTGGGAGATCAACAATGAGATTAATTTCTGGAGCAAACAACGCAATTTCGACCAGGTCCTTGCCCTGGCTCAAAAAGTGGAAACGGAAGGGCTGCGCCCGAACATCTACACGTTCCACGCCCTGTTGAACGCGGCAATTGCCTGTCGTCGGGGCGAGGCGGAAACGCTGGCCGTGTGGCAGAAAATGACAGAGGAACACGGGCTACGACCTACTGTGGTCACGTACAACATTTTGTTGAAGCGCTTTTTTGGCAGGGGCACTCCGGCGGCCCAACGCCAGGCCCTCGCGGTCCTGAACGAAATGCGGCAAGGGGGCGTGGAGCCGGACGTGTTGACCTTTAACGAGTTGATCAACATTTGTGTGGAAGGTGGGGACATGAAGGCAGCCGCGGGGTTGATGCAAGCCATGGTGCACCGGGGCATGGCCCCCGATACCCGGACGTACACCACCCTGATCAAAGGACACGGCCTAAAAGGGAATTTGATGGACGCTTTCGAGACGGTCAAGACCATGCGCGCCCAGGCATTGCCCCTGAGCACGTATTCCTGTAACGTGTTGGCGGATGCGTGCATCCGGTGCGGCCAACCGTCCCGGGCGCTCGCCCTTTATCGGGAATTCGAAGCCGAGGCCGACGAGGCCGGGGGCGAGGCCGGGCGGACGTTGGACTTGAAAAGTTTCAACATCATGATCAAGGCGTACCGAGGGCTGGGGCACGTCGAGGGCGCCCGGGCGGCCTTGCATGCCCTCGAACGTCGAGGGTTCAAAGCCGACACAGTGACCTACAACACGCTCGTGGACCTCCACTGTAAGGCCCAAAACCTGGGGGGCGCCCGATCCCTGATCGAAAAAATGAAGGAGAATGCCGTACCGGTCACGCACCAGACGATTCATCCCCTTGTGCAAGAGGAGATCATCGCCCACGGGGTGTCGTGGGAGGAAGCCCTGGACCTGGCCACGGCGTTGCTCGGTGCGCATGGCCTCAAGCAGAACGACGTGACCATTTGCACGGTCATGGAAGCCATGTTGAGCCTGGAGCGGCCCCGGGACGCGATCCAAGTCTTTGTGCGAAGCTTTTTTGCGCCGAGGGAAGGTGTGAGTCCGGCGGAGGGAGGGAAGGGGAGAGAGCGGTCGGAAAGAGGAAAAGAGGCTATGGGCCGAGTGCCCCGTCCGCGGGTCATTCCCAGCCTAGTGGCTTTCAACGGACTGATCAAGGCCTACCGCGATTACGTGGTAGGTCTGGACATGGAGGGAGAGGGGGGGGACATGGCCCCCCTCCCCCTCCTTGTTTTCCCTCCCAACGGCGGTTCGCCCCTGTGGACGCAAGCCACCACCCCGCGGGCTGTCTTGGAGGCCGCTGTACACCTCCCTTCCTATTTGCAGACCTTGGCTGCCATTACTCCTACAGCAACGGCTCCGTCTCCTTCGTCTTCCTCGCCACATTCCAGAGCCCCAGGCGCCGCGCGCCGCTCTTTCGGCACCTCTCATCTCTTTGGCGGCCCGGACTCCATCACGTACAACATATTGATGGATTTCGCGGGAGAGCTCGGTGACGTTGAGGCCTTGGAAACAATCCACGCGGCCCGGAACGCCGCAGGGTTCGCCATTGACCATTACGTCATCCATTCGTACATGAAGGCGCATGCTGTACGGGGGAACTTGGCCGGGGTGACCGAAGCGAAGGAGAAAATGGAAGCTTTGCGAGTACCAGCCAATGAAAGGACTTTCAGTGTCTTGGTCTTGTCGCTTCTGCGGTGTGGGCAAGTGGAGAAGGCGGAGCTGCTCCTCAAGAACGCGCTGGCTCGACAGACCTACGTCCATGACTCGCTCTTCGTGGCATTTATACAGCACTACACGTCTGCCCCTTCGTCTTCCCAGCAGCCCTCGGCACCGGAGAAGCCAACCTCCCGCCTGGTGGCGGCGCGGGAGATTTTTGAAGCTTTCAAAGCTCGTCGCAATCCGGGGGCACCGATGCCGGCAGCGCCCCAACAGTCGCACGGAAAATGGGCGGGTGCGGTCTGGAGCGCCTGGATGGCCGCCTTGGCCCGCAAGGGGGACCTGGACGGGGTCCTGGCGGCGTGGAAGGAGATGACGCTATGTCCTTCCTTGGGCGTGCGGCCGACCCGAAGCACCTACGCGCAAGTTATCCGGGCCGCCTGTGTGGCGGGGGAGGTAGAGACGGCATTGCAATGGGTGCAAAATATGCGGGGAAAAAAGTGGGTGCCGGACGTGCGCGTGTACAACGGCTTGATTTACGCCTGCCTAGAGAAAGAGATGGGTAAAGCGGACAGGAAAGGGAGCAAGGGGGGCGGAGGCCAACGACTGCTGGTAGAGGTTCTTGAGATGATGGAAAGGGACGGAGTGCAGCCTAACGCCATCACCTTGAGAGCTAAGGAGGGAGTCATGCGCGTGCTTGCCTCACGGATGCGGGCCGTGTCGGACACGATGGTTGGAAAGTTAAAAATGCTGGCTTTGAGCAAGCAGTGGGCCGAGAGGACCGAGGGAAAAGGGTAAATGAAGGGAAAGAGAACCTTCACTTACCTGCTTGTAATTTGAGGTGCGTAGAAAAGCAATGCTAGTCAACTGTAATGAATAAATCGATGCATTCCGTACATGGCCAATGCTTGTACATTGTACGCGATATTATCATCATTTGATACGTGTCTTCAAGCTATTTACGATACAAATATTTTTTTCGCGCGATGTATTAGCCTTTTCGATCAACCTCGTCTAATGCTTACACATCCTTTTAAAAACGCCTTGAAAAGCTTAGCTTTTGCAGAAGACTCGTATGAGCCACATCTAAACTTGGGGGCTTTTTGACAAAAAACTCGTGCAATGTCCTGTGGACATGCCCTATTGATCAGGGCTATTTAGAGCGAAAGCACTGACATGTTAAAATGTATTCGACACTCATGAGATTTAATAACACACTCAATTTCCAAAGCTTGAAATTCTGGCCGTTGACGCCTCTGACAATTGCCCCTGGATGATAGTGAAATATTTCTTTCATGAGAAAAAGCCGTTGTACGTAGGCCCGGGCAGTACAAAGGGCGTACGAACCCGCACAGAATCATCAGAGAGCTGGGTTGAGTGTCGTCAAAGGTACATCGAAGTCCGTGTCATTTTGACGAATCGTTCAGCAATGCATTCAGACATGTTGATTAATTTATCCTCACGCGATTCTGTTGAGTCACCTTCACTTCAGAGCAGATATCGCAAAAAAAAACGTACCTTGTCGTGAGGTGCACTTAATGAGGCGAGGCCTATGAAGGTCAAGCTCCGACTTGTAGGTGGGGCAAAAGGCGATGGCATGCGTCCTGATGTTCATCGCGACTCACAACGAATAGCGCTGACTGACCCATCTCACGAAGCGGCAACTCCCATAAACACTGACCGAGAGTAAAATGATCCTCCTGCTTAATAGGAGCCTTTGAAAAGTACTGCTTCCTGAAATGCGAGTCACATTCGCAAGGACGGGCTTGAACAAGCTGGAGGGTGCTACAATTTATGGGGCTGGGTTCCGGCGCCCATTTCTGTGGTATCCTGGTGGGTGTCCGTTAATTCATCCCAAAAAGGCACAGTCTACCGTTAAATATACCCAGCCCATGTATGGCACAATAAAGCCCACCCAATTGAATACACTCGAACGCCCCTTTTCCACAAGGCTCGAAAAGTTGTGACGGACATGGGGGTATTTGGAGAGCTCCTTGTGACCAATAGAGTCCAGAAAGGCGAACCGTTTTTTTTTCCGTTACAGCGTTTCCTCCTACTCTTGCATGGTAGGAGCGTTCAAGCACCCATTCACACGCATGTTGTGTACGTGACGCGTCCTTTTGCCATATTTTGACGACGGCATTTGGTCTTGGTTGGTCTTGAGGTATGTTTTTACGCAAAATCGTCGCGCTGCAGATGAGACTTTAATCCCAGTTTTCCTGCCCGAGGTGCGAAGGGCTAGCCTGCCCATTTCTTTGAAGCTCATACGCTTCTGATAGGCCCTTCATTTGCCCAACCGTTGGGTACGATTCCTGACCAGGGGGAAAAAGATAATATATGCCATTTATGCCTTTACAATGTCACCATGTAGAATTCTATATTCGCACTTGTTCACTTTGAGATGTTGCAAGAGGCATCATTCGCGGGATAACTGGACTGCAGATCGATCTCTTAAGTGTGTCAGCCCCTCTTGAACATCATTTAATGCTTCAATAGTATGGTCACTATCTTTGGCTGGATAAACACTTTTATGACCGTCAAGTTTATCATAAAAAACTGATGGTCATATGCTGTCTTGCCCTGTACAAGGGCTATTTGTCTTTGCCCTCGCTCGTCACCGTGCATTGTGGGTGCGATCTCGAGGATAAAATACCTTATATTTTGCGCATTTTGTAGCAGTGTCGATCACGTAAGGAGAAAAATTATGTTGGGCCATTAGATGCCGATTTTTGTTATAATGTTGGCACAGGGAGCAAGTGAAAAGCCGCCATGCAGCATCGGCCCATATAATATGTGTAACCACCCCTCCTACCAGCGACTGTCTTCCTCCCTAGCTTTTGCATACAATATGCTACCATACCATGCGGTCCCCGTGAAGCCAAACCTCTGACAAGAGTGGCTGATTTCTTCGGGGTCCATGCCCCGATGTGTCAACAACTTCTCACATTCTCTTCACCCGCGGCACATTCACAGGAACCATCTGAAATACCCGTACAAAGCTCATAGAATGACTGCTTCAGAAGAACTTTCTCTCCGATACTATGAAGTGTGTTGCATGCTTCTCCAACGATGGCGGTACTCCACTCAAAACAACCGGGAGGATATGAATGATGCCTGTATCGAGAGCGGTGCATCCTACGACGAATTGCGCTCCATTCTCAAGCACCTCCGTGCCAAGTACATGGCTGGTTTCAACAATGCCCAGAAGCAAGGTCGATTTATCGACGATTTCTACGGCTACTACACTTCTACCAAGCGGCCTCGGGGACGGCCTCCGACCGCAGCGGGTGGGACTGGAAACGGGGTGAAACTGCCGTCGAGCAACATCCGTGCCCAGCAACCGTCGCAGCCTGCCTCCTCAGACATGGTCACTGGAGCCGGAGATTTGATGGTCGAGAGCGACAGCCAAAGCAGCAATGACGGAAATGCTCCTGTGGGTGGCACAGGGCGTTTGAGGATGCCTTCAGCCCGGGCCCGCAAAGCCACAGCACCCTATGAGGCCCCTCTGGCCAGCACGCACAGCCGCTCTTCCTCGTCCTCCTCGGCCTCATCCACCTCTTCGAGTCGCTCTCGGAAAGCAAGCAAAAGCCAACCGCTCGCCAAACGCTACCGGCACGGGAGCAGTGAGATGGTCGGCTACGTCGGGCCGGAAGGAAATGATTACGACAACCTGCAGGCGTACCAAGAGAAAGCAGGAAGGAACCAAGCAGAGTTCGAGAGAATAGATGTCGGGGGCTCCACACGGTGCCGGATGGAGGGGAAAGCAGGGGAAGAATTGGAGGATGAGGATGCGGTTGTGGTTATGTTGGCACCCACTGGGCAGCATGAACGGCAAAGTTCGCTTTTCGATTTGGTGACGGCCGTCGAAGAAGCCTCCGGGAAAACCGATGGTAACCCCGTCGCAAAAAGTCGGGCCATTAGCCCTGCTCTGGATGATCACGGGCTCCTCCTACTCGGCCTGAAGGCACACCCCGTCACATTCTCACACGCCAAAACTTCTCCATCCACGACGGCGGGCACAAATTCCGCGAAATCTTTGCTGGAGACGCAGTCCAAGCAAGAAGCGACGCCCAGCGAACGCACCAGCTGCAACAACAGCGTCGGCAGCTCGGGGGAAACCAGCTTGACCAAAGTGCCCCCATCCTCCTCCTCGTTGCAATCCGCCCTGGGCGGGAAAGCTTTGGAAGGTCGCGTCTCCGCATCTTTCCATACACAGCCAGCCAAGACAAGCAGTATCTACCCGGGCCACCCCCTACCCCCGCAGCTGGCCAACATGCCTCCTCGCCTGCCCTACCCCCCTGTGACTTTTCAAGGGCATGCCTCCCATCCTCAATACTACCATCCGCACCACTACTTCCACAACTTGAGTACCCCTTATAATCAGCAGCCTCAGCAGTCTGTAGCCTACTATAATCAGTACCCTCCCCAGAAGCATGAGCGTAAAACCTCAGAAGAACAGCCCGCCTACTGCCCACAACCGCATCAGCAGAACAGCAGCAGTCAAGCAGACTTGCTGCATGCGTCCTACTCCTCCACCATGAGCACGCATTCTTTGCCGGCCATGTCAGGGCACGCAGTTGTCGACGTGGTCGGCCCTGCGGACACCCCTACGGTCCTCTCTGGTACGAAAATAGGCACGTGCAAGACCGTCGGCAGCAACAGGGGGCAAGGGCAGGAACACCACTCGCGAAGAGAGGGTACAGACCGCACGGCCCAACACATTGTAGGCAGCATGGTGCGCGACATGAGCGGAGCTGCCCCTGCTGCGACTGTCTCTTACTAATCGTCAAACCTGAGGATGCTGCCGCATTCTACTGTCACCTGCTTTACCATAAAATCCCGCAAGTTCAAGAAGAGAAACGGAGGAAGGATGTTAACAGGATGTAGGGTATTTTTTAGAAACTTTGGGGATGTCATCTTTGACATGCTGTCGACCTGTCAGATCACGCACTCACGCACATCTACTCATAGCAAATTTGACGAAGTACGTACGTCTGAATAGAGATTCAAAGGTACATGCTACCAAACCCGTCGCAATTTTTACGCGCGTGCTTATCTATTCATGAATATATCTATAAAAATATATACATGTATATCCATTTATAGAGAGGTAGATGTGTGTCCCAGTATGTGTACATACATGTTTCGACATGTTTGTACACATTCTCTCTTATATCTTATACGGTGCTTGCGGCTATGTCCGTGCGCGTTGTCGCCCGGTATTGATCGGTCTTCTCTATCTGTGACAAGATTTTCCTATTGTTATTTTTGTCGGATGTGTCCGTCAAAAGAAATGATAAAGGTGTCGAAAGGACTGATGGGACCTTTTTTTGGATTGTCTTTCTCTGACCAGTGAGGGATCTAGGCGTTGCGGACGCGCAGTCAATTGATGCAAACAACATAAACAAAAGTCATGGATGCATTTCACAGATATCATTGAATAATTAATGCTGAGGAAAAAGAAATTGAGACCCGAAATCTTGGTCTGTGCATAACAAAAGTAAAATTGTCTTAGTGCACTGACAAAGGTTGGCGGGCATGTTGTCCGACCAAAGCGAAGAGTTAATGCTATTGAATACAACCATATAGGAAGAGGGGAAAAGCCAGGTTTAAACAAAGAGGAAAAAGTCCTTGCAACCTCAGCTCTGTTCCGACAATGTCTGGGTTGACCATTATTTGCGGCCGTTTCCGATTTACTTTGTTGCCATCGGGGCTTGACTATCCTTGAAAAGAGACAGCAACAATTCTTCTTAAAAAGACTTTTTTATATTTGCATTGGAAATTCTCATCATGATCTTTTCATTGCGCATGAGATTAGGATCATGAATCTCGTTCAATATATAGTTCTAACACATCAACTTATAAGTTTGTCGCGTGCTTGAAAGAAATTCGTCATTATTTTAATGGCAGCTCATAACATATGCGATGAAGCAAATTGTAAGTGCAACCGACCATCGTGCGTCCGCTAGATCGGGGTGGGGAACCTGCATTTGCACTTCGATCCAGACTAGCGGAGATCTCGCCTTGAAATGTCAATCATGCCCGAGAATATCATCCGCCTACGGAAAGATAAGGCATCGATTTGTCTACATAAGCAAGAGACGAGTTTCCTTGCCGATCAAGATAACCGACAGGCGGGTGAGACGCTTGTTGTGAAGCTGTCTGTTGGGTTCAAGCAATTAAATAATAGTGTGCCGCATCATGAGAACGCTTTGATCTTCGCCATAACTTTCTTCAATCTACATCAAGCTCTATGAAGATTCCATATTTTAAGTTTTGAGTCACAAACTTTTCGAAGTCGACCACCTGACATGGTTCGGAAGGGCAAGGCCGTGACGGGAGGTGGCGGCACAAAAGTCCGAGAGAGGGAACGAATAAAATAACGTTGGTGAGGTGTAGGAGAACACCACGTTGAAAGATTCAAGTGAGCTGACGCGCGCAAACTCAAAGCTGGTGGACAGGATCATGTGTAAATTATGACACTATGCTGTGCGACAGCAGGGAAAAGACACACTTGGTCAATTGAGTGTCGCATAATCGCCGTGAGACATACCGGCATGATCACACAGATAATGGCGGCGCTATCGTATGACCAGGATAAAGTCCGAACAGGGGATGCCGCCCCATCTGCTGGAATTTTGCTTTCCTCAAAGTTTTTGGGGGATCCGACAATTGAAGACATGTCTCATCCTCATGTTCTGTTTTGATCAGATTATTCGCGTCGTGGATTGGGGGATCACGTCTTGACTGCCCACATTTTGTCTACATAAGCCGTCCTGTACATGGCACCCAAAAGTATGTTTGCCAAGAGATATGTGACTTCCCCCTTCCTTCGGATTCCCCCATAGCTTGCAGTGAGCTGTATATTATGTCCTGTTATATTTGCGAGCATATCTGCCCTTAACGTGCACGCATATGTCCGTCTATTCATGTATGCAAGGAGCGAGGTCATGAGTGTCGGGAGATTTATGTGTTTCTTAATACACGACCTTGGCTCATTCGAGGCAAAAGTCATATAAGCGCATATTTATAGTCAATCGCCCACGATCCAGGGCATCTGCTTTTTTATGATCTTACATAAACATCTACCCTTACATCTCTCGCAGAGCTCATCAGAGTTCATCTTGAATTGCCTTGCACGCCTGACTCCTCCAATGACGACAAGTGAGGAGATCTCTCTGGAATATTACCGGATTTGCTGCGCACTGCTACATCGCTGGTATTTCGTTGCACACAACAACCGAAATGATATCAGTGAAGCCTGTTCTAAAAGTGGAGCATCTTATGAAGAACTGCGATCCATTCTGAAATACCTTCGGGCTCACTATGTGGGTGGTTTTTTGACTGCGCGCAAGCTGGGACAGGTTTCTGATGATCTGTTCGCCTACTATCTTTCCCTGAAGCAGCAAAGGCGCCGTCGTACTGCTACAAAAAAAGACCACACGAATGGTGGTGTAGATCTTTCTTTCACCCCTTTGTCTATCGCCTACTATCTTTCCCTGAAGCAGCAAAGGCGCCGTCGTACTGCTACAAAAAAAGACCACACGAATGGTGGTGTAGATCTTTCTTTCACCCCTTTGTCTACGAGCAGCAGCAGACCCATCAAATCGACTGCAAGTGTGCATGAAACTGGTAATGCTGAGTCAAAACGCAGTAAAAATAATGCTGTCAGCCGCTGGCTTCAAGCCCCCCTTTCCACAGACAACCAGAAGGCATCTTCTTTCAACTGCGACCATGAGCGGCCTTACCATTCACTATCGTTCAGTCAACGCCCACCTTTTCGCCTTGTGCATCGTCTCCACTCCTCCCCTCGTGCCACGTCGACAAACAAAAGTAGTGTACCGGCTGCTAGACTTCATAATTATTCAACGCATGCATCGCCTTCCTTTCTTTACCCTCAATTGGCTATGTCTTTGAAAGGCAATAGCCCTTTTGATATTCGTTCAGGCGGACAGCAGCAGCAGCAGCAGCAGCAGCAGGCACTGGTTCACCCCTTCCCTATTACCTACCCTACTGACTACGGCCTTAAGGTCATTCACCACCGATATCAGTATCAGGTGCGGCCGTTTGACGAGCCTGTAATGCTCTTATCTTCTGCATTACGGGCGAGATCGCAAGAACAGCTGCAACAGCAACCACACTATGGCACGCGTACGTCTCAAAGCACGTCGCCTTCCAGACAGCAGTTGACCATCACACCGAGCCGGAGCACTCTTGAAAGCACCACACTGACCTCGAATTGTGACAACGCGAGCAGCTCACTACAGCCGTGTGGCGCCGTTGCCGCAATTTTATCTAACATGTCGCCTTCATCTACGAGCTACCATGACGATAGAAAAAAAGGGACAAATTCTAGGATCCCCACTCAACGAAGATACCATCGTACAGAGCTTGGGCAGAGAAGACACCGTTGACGGAGTAAGTGTCTGCACTCTCCCGCTCAAAGGCAATGAGACCAAAAGGAATCTATCGAGAGCGAAAGATTGCAAAGATTATGGAGCTGAGGGGTTCAAAAGACATCTTCCAATCGATGATGCCCGCTTGCCTTTGAAAAAGCGTCGCTGCCATATTTCCCACAAGCACGATGACGTCTTAGCGGTCTCTGTTCTTCTAGGATTAAAGATGCAAGGTTGACGGGGAGTAGATAGCATTAACGTATACGTGACATGAGACGGAAGAAAAGTGCATGGAGAAGATCTTAACAGTAAGAAATCATTAGAGGACTGTTACGCATGCAACCAGATTGTCAAATTGATGAGCTACAAATACCTGCAAATTCGTGGATGTTTACAAGTTGGGGGTTATGTAGAGTTTACCTGCAGTTTCACATGAAATTTCGAATGAAGTTACACATGCATGATACCAAATACACCGATGTTTGACTTTTTTGCGGGCCCACATCCAATAGGACAGTATGTCAACTCTTTATCGAGGAAAGAGAGACCTAAGTCTTATAGAAACAGTGGAAAATGTTGCTCTCTAGTCAGAGGGAGAGCTTGAAAAGAATAGATACATTTACATTTGTTCGCGCACTTATGTAATGGATAATGCTCTTCTTTGGTCCAATTACGCTTTGTGCATCAATCACTCGAAGTCCTACTTGTTTCCTTCGACCTCGTTGTCCCCCGCAAAAAGTGCACTTGATCCTGCATCACTGGTGGCGTATGAGTATAAGCTAATGTGCATGTGTGCCAGTGTAAATTGGACAATAATTGTGTGAAGGTGAAAATGCGTGGTAGTGTCAGGGAATACTATTTGAGTTCAATGCTTCACACACATAATCCGCGACATATTTCCCTGCCAAGACATTCGATTAAAACTACATATGGCCACGAAATTCCTTTGACTTTCCATGTCCAGCGTCTATCTGACATCTCAAGTAATCTGCTTCGAAACTTTAGCTGGGCGGGGCTACAGTGGTGGCTTTCTTGAGCCCAGCGGGTGCCACGGGCATGGCAGACGAATGATGGTCGATGATCTCCCAAGCTCCCGAGGCCTCATCACGTTTGTACACAAAGACATAACGGGCTTTAGTGACCTTTTTACCCTCTGGAGAGTCAAACGTCACAGTATAATAGCCATCGTTAAGCGCGATATCCCCATACACACGAATGTAGGGCTTGTAGTCCGACACTTTCAAGTTGGGCAAGCGTGCAAAGACATCGAAATAATCACGGATCTCTTTTGGGTTGACGCGAAGCTCCGTAGAAACGGTCGCCCACAGCACACCATCCTTTGCATAGAGAGCAGCTGTTTCAGCGGGGCTAGTAGGCTTCTGTCCCGTCACGGTCTCAAGCCACTTCTCGGTCGTCGCAGCTACCTCAGCTACCACTTGCTTGTGCGAAGGGCGCGATGGAATAGTCTCACGCACCGTAGAAAGCAAATGTACAGGAAAAGCTTTCTGTAAGAATTGTTATATTAAAAATTGATTTTTGGCCCGCGTCAGAGATTGTAACACGTGTAATGGGGAAGATGCATGAGCAAGGGAAGGGGCCATTCTTCCTATGCATGCACGTTCATCGCAATTTGTGGTGGTATCCCCTTCTAAAGTATCACGTCTTATACCTTGGCCGTAATGGAGGCTTGAAGCCGCAGGGACTGGGTTGCTAGGGACTTGGCAAGGAGCATTTTGAACGTAAGAATGTCTAGACGGCATGGTGTGTTAGAAAATTGCATATATAATGAGAAGCTTGCATAACAACAAGTGGAGCAACAGACTTCTTACCCCATAATGTTTCAAAAGTACTAGCATACAACCATAAGAAAATATTTTCACGGGTAGTTGCGCCCAGATAAGAGCAAACGAAATATTCTTTGAAAGGAATGGAGCAGGGATGGGAAGCGCGGTCATGCAGGGATCCCTGAAGGGGGCCTAATGGAAAAAGCCAACAACATGGACAATTTTTTGAAGGCTCCACAAAAGACCAATGAATGTGAAAATACTTAATGGAAAAAAGGTGCATGTAGGGATGAGATGAAATTGCACGAAAGGTGGCGATGAATACGCGACCTTGTTGTGAACGGATTTTTGAAATTCAAAATGCATTTCCCTAAGAATTTGGACAGCATGAACTCATCTGTGTAAAAAAATCAGGCGACGACATGCGACAATGACTAGTGCACATCAATGTTTATACTCATTTTTGCATATATGTACCACTTGCATATGCATACGTGGCGTGGTGCCTATAGAAACTAGCATTTCCCTTTTTAAGCTAAACGGCTTGATGACAGTTGGCAGCGTATGATTTTTGTTATTTGTGCTTCCATGACTTTTTATTCCCTCCTGTAGGTTTTTTGTGACTTAAATTCATCCTTTTCCGAAGATTTTTTCACTATTGTTTGACGTGTGTAAGAAATTCACCCGCAAAATCGCTGAGGCAAAAACTTTTAGTGTCGCCTTAAATCAAACGGAAGCAAGCAATTGCAATACGTTTCCTGAGGCGAAGAAAAGTGAAATGACGATAACTGTCTTGGCTATCTTATGTGCAATGTGTACACGAGATCAAATCATGGCTAGAGAGATGTGACTTTGGCTTACTCCATCAGACGTACAAAATTTAACAATTACCACACAATTACGTGACATGTTATACAAAGTGTTCTTTACCTTTTTCAACAATCCTATTTTACCTATGCTCTCGTAGACGAGCCATCCTGGCCCGAGTCCATTTAGCCCGTGGACACGCCTCTGCCTTTCCCGACACTTCGCTCATCTCTCATGCATATTTCCAAAACCTCTCGACCCTATCTTTTCTTCCATTTGTTCTCTCCTACTCCCTTTCTTCTTTCCCGTCCCCCCCCTCCACTTCCTCTGAAAAACAAGGTTGACATAAACCGCGCTTGCAACCGTTTTAGCATACGCCCCCTCAAAAAGACGCGCCGACCGAATGCGTGACTCCCACTATTTTCGAGGCTTGATGCTACTGGAGCCGCAGAGGGGGCGGGAACAGAATTATCGGACGTAGGAACGGTAGAAGCATCTTCACAAGGAAACAGGGCTAGAAAATGATTGCCAGCCTGGAATTATAAAGGGTTTCAAGCAAATAAAAGCAGGAGGCATAATAAGATCAGGTTCAAATAGGTTGACAAGTGGAAATCGCTCCCACACAGGAGAACATCATTCCCATTGCGGCCAAGCAAAGATCGCAAATCCATGTATGGAGCACCCTCCTTCTCCACCTGGTGGTTACCTTACCTTGTTATAGAAGTAAGGGGCACAGTCAGGAAAATTGCAGTCAGCTATCAAAATATGCAAGCTCTTTTTGGGCGAGAACTTCGGCATCCCGCATTCGACCATCTTTTTGAATACAAACCTGTAAAGCGTTTGAATACCGTTGAAATTCCCAGAAAATAGAGTATGAGTAACCGCTTTTGGTAGTTATCGTACGGCCGGGACACATTAGCGTTGCCTTGCACATTGTAAAAGTTGATCCGACAGATTGTCTTCACTTTCGTTCCACCTCATTTTCCCTCTCTTCCCCTTCCTTACCTTGACCAGAAGAGCAACCCCACGGGCTTAAGCTCATACAAAAATATGGGACGCTCCAGGGCGTTGGCGAGGGCGACAATTTCTAGCCCCCCCCCCCATTCCTTCGGGTCACGCAGGCGGACCTGGGAGATACGTGCGTGGTGACAGGGGAAGGGATGGTGAGAACTTTGAGCCTCTGTCTCGCGAAGAGAAAGGGAAAAAGATGGGACCAACCACCCCCACGACACGATCGCTCAGACTTCCACAAGTATGAATCCAATGCTTGCCATTCCGATCATCGAGCGACAAAAACATTTTCCGGGCAGCAACACAGATGAGAGTACAAGAAATTGCGAGACTGGCACGGAAACGACGCCTTTCCAGCCACTCAACACGTCCTCACAAGCATGTCAGAAACCCCCACGTCCAGACGCCCCCCGTATGGCCGTACCAGGTACTGCTCCGCCGACAGGCCCATTTCCTTGCTCGTCATGTCCAAGAGCTCCTGGCTTTTCATATCCTGGTTGTACGTTACGGTCAACAATCGACTGGGATCGTCCGAGAGATAATCCAAGGCTGTCTGTCTGAGCACCCCTGCGGCCTTGCACATCGCCTCGTAGTCTTCCTGGGGGTGTGAGCCGTTTGTCGCGTACGCCAACGCCACGTAAATGGCATGGAAAAGGCAAGACCCATCACCAGGGACCTATGGGTAGGCAAAAAGTAAATATAATAAACAAGAAGCTTGATACCCCATTTATGCAGCGGCTAGACGCGACCCTTCAGTCACACCACAAGGACACATTTCAACACCCAGATTCCTCCATTAAACCTCCCATCTCCTTTGTTGGGCGTTCCGTTTCCATCTGCCGGTCCCGTTCCGCGCAGTTCCCCTGATTCTTTCCCTCACCTGGCGCACGCGCATCTTGCTCTTGCTGTGGTGCACGTCCCAGGTCTCCGAGAAAAAGCCACCCCGGCTTATACTGTTGTAGACTTCCAAGCGTCCATCTCCTGTGGCCGTCCCGCTCGGGAAATTGGTGGCCGCAAACGAAAATCGAAAAGTGGCGCTGGGCGCGACAAGCAGGAGGAGGAGGAAGGTAGGCATGAGGGTGGGAGAGCGACGTAGTCTTGCTCCTCGTCGGCTGGGGCGGGCCCGACGGGTAGAGACGGATATCATGGACAGAGGCCAGGGAAAGGAGGAGCAATACTGCGTGGCTGGAAGGGAAGACAGGCACGGTGTATCTTTCATTCAGACAGGCTGCACTTTTCCTTGCGGTTGCCTATGTGCAGTTTCCAGGCGGTTAGTGCCAACACTTTTCCGGGAACAAGACCCGCAAGCGCACCGAAAAACGAGCACCCGTCCCTGTAATAAATTGAAAAATACTCTCGGTGAGATGATTGCTTGGAGCAAAATGGATGACACCTACAGGCTTTCATTGTCTGTCCGACCAAAGCAAGTTGAGGAGTCGGACTACACAGGCGAGGGGGTTGCTGGCTTCCTCTTTGCCCCGGGTTTTCTTGCCCCAAATGAAGGACAGCAACGGCAACAGGGATAGCGAGATCATATGATGGTGCACACACGTTGAAAGCATCTGAAATCTGCGTCCCAAATGCTTGACCGAAAATAATCTGTACAGGTGATTTTACAAACGTGCCCATGACGGAGAGGACGCAAGTCCGGGGACTGCTCCCAAGGGGAGTGCATGGTACATCGCAGTGCATGTAAATGACCCTTGAAAAGCAAAACCTCAACCTCCATCACCCCGCGCTATCTCTCTGTGTGCAGATTTTTCCTATTTCCTTACGTTGTGCCGGCCATGCACCCAGTCGTTCCCTAACACGCCCCCTTTTTCGGGCGCCGAAAAACCCTCTGCCAGGCGCGTTTCCCACCCCAAGAATTTCGTCCTCGCCTCAGCCGGAGGGGGCTGGGGCAATGCATGCCACGAAATCTTCCCTTAAATATTTTCCAACGTGGCACGAAAGGCTGCGAAAACCCCTGTCGACATGTGCATGTCCGTAGCGGGACATGTATTTCGAATGGATCGGCAGGGATGTTTCAGGGGGAATTTATTTGGGTCCGGGCCCCGCCCCTGCCTGGTATCACCTGACGCGGGCGCGTAAGGCCGTCGATATGCCCGTCTCGAGGTTGAGGAACCGAAAACCATGACGAAACGAGACCAGCCCGGCGCGTGGGGGGCAAGCCTTGAGCCTCTCAAAGTGCTTAGGAGGTGGAGGCGTTGTGCTTCCTCAACCTGCGTGGGATCTGGTGGGTGATGGGTGTGGTTTTGTCGACCATTTCCTGTCGGTGGCTTTACGCTTTGGGGTATTTTCCATGCCCTTCACGTCTGGGGCATTCCGCGTTTTGCCTCCTCCGCCTCTACGCCGGCCTCTGTGATGCACCCCACCCGTCCGTGCCATAACACATCGATAACGCTCAATCCCCAGTCCATTCATCGTCTTAGACCTTGAAGGGGCACAGATTCACATATGCATGTCGTCGTCGTGACCGAGGGGGGGTGGAGGCCGAATAAGGGCAGGGCCTCTTTAGGAGGCGTAAGCTCGAATCCAAATCGATGCCCTTTCACGCTTTCGACACGTGGCATCTTGATGGTTTCCCTTGGAGGCCTGTCGACATTTTACGGCGTGACAAGGAGTCTAATGAGGCTTGAAAGTGGCAGCGTATCGTCACGCCTGCGACAGTGTTGCCCTCCCTTGACGGAGACAGAGCAAGAAAGGCTTGTCTCTTCTCCATCGAAGAAGCTTTTATTTACCGTAAATTTTGCTCACAGCTACATATTCTCACCTCAATCAAACGCCCAGAGAAAGCAGTGGAGTGAAAGGATGAGTCCTCCGTGCATGGAAAGTGCTCTAAGGAAGACTGGAGCTGTTTGAGGACGCGCGTTCGCTGTCACAAAGTCAGGCATTTTAGCTGCCTTTGACGTCGCGAAAGTTTGATAATGGAAAATGTTGGCAACATGAGTGGTGGCAGCCCGAGTGGCTACCCCCCCATGGCTCTTGGACAGCAGCAGCGGCTCAACAATCAGCAACACGAACCATCGCCCCAACAACTTTACCTTCCACCTCAACAGCAGCAGGAACAGCACTTCGCTGCTTATCAAATGGACCCTCCTGCATACGGTCAACACACGTACGGCTACATGACCGGTGCAGGGGTTGGTCACAGTGCGCCTTCCCCCCCCGTCTACCATGCACAGCCTCCAGCCTATCCCGGGCCCTACCCCTCGCACCCTTACGGCAACCGGACTGGGACAATGCACGACGGAAACGTCAGCGGCAATAGCGCGCACGCGCACTACCCCACTCCGTACCACCACGGGCGGGAGCACGGGGAGGGAGGAGGAGGGAAAGGAGAAGAGGGGTCCCTGTCCCTGTCAGCGGCCGCCATGCAACAATTTTATCTCCAGCAGCAGCAAGCAGCCGCAGCAGCAGCAGGTATAGGACCGCAGAGCTCAGGCGTTGACGCTGTAGCTTGGTACGCATTGGCACAGGCCCACCACCAGCACCTGCAGCAGCAGCAGCAGCAGCAGCAACAACATCGTGATCATAATCACCAGGCCTTGCCTGTACAACAACATCATCACCATCATCACCAACAGCAGCAGCAGCAACAACAACAACAACAACAACAACAACAACAACAACAACAACAACAACAACAACAACAACAGCAACAACAACAACAACACCCTCAACACCACCAGGCCTTTGCGTCCCACCTGACTGGGGATGGAAGAAAAAGAGGAGGAGAAGGAGCGGACGTTCAGGCGCAATTACCCGAGTTGCAATTTCAAGCGGAAGTCAGCGGTAAATCCCACGTATCACAAGAACCTAACCGCAAAAAAGTGCGCGAACGTTCCGCTCCGTCCAAGCGAAAAGCTGCCGGAGAAAAAGGAGGAAGGGGGGGGGGGAGGAAAGGGGGCAGGCCACCGAGTCCCTCCGCGTATTTCCCTCCCTTAATGCCCGGTACCGCTGTCCTCCCGGTAGATAAAGAGTCTGAAGCGGCACTGTTGGCCGAGCTGCGAGCGGAGGTAGAGCGGTTGGCCTCTCAGCGGGGAGAGGGTGGGGGGGAGGGATACGAGGGAGAGGAAGAGGAGGAGGGAAACCGAGAGCCGGGGGATGGGCCGAATGACCCGACGAAGAAAAACGGCCATGCGAACAGTGTGGATGTGGTTGCCAAAGCCCTGATAGATTGGCGTGTGGAGCAAGTCTATCCCGCGGCGGAAGGGGCGGAAGGGGTGCTGGAAGGGGGAGAGGGAGGGAGGGAAGGAGAGGGGGCAGGACAAGTGATCTACGTGGATGTTCACGGCCAAGTCTTTGCCTCCAAGGCGGCGGCGGTGGAGGCGTTGTTGTCGCGGGTCGTCCAGGAAGAGGAGCACCGGAAGATGAAGGCCCGAAAGCGCGGCGAGATGCGGCGGAAGCAGGAGGCAACCCCGGGTCGGGACGGCAGCATGTCCTTGTCAGCAGGGCCGGAGCCATCGCCTGCCAAGGTACCCGGAGTGCAGAGTCCATCGTCCCCTGCAACGTCCGCCCTGCCCTTGTCCAGCACGGCCAAAGCCGTAAAGGGCCCGGCATCGCGTCCCTCCCTCCCTCCTCTCCCTTCCATGAATCCCTCCGTTTTGGAGACGCTGGGGGGCACGCTTCCCCCCCTGCCCGCCCACAGCAATACCTCCAGCACCTCCTCGATCACGGGGGAGGCCGGGGCCTACCGACCCACTCCACTCGAAGCCGACGCGGCGGACGGAAACAAGGGGGAGGAGTTAAGGGGGGGCGGCGGCAGGGAAGACGACGAAGGGGAGGAAGGGAGTAGGGGGGAGAGAGGAATGGTAGATTCCACATGTCTGTCCCCCGCTTCCCTCGCCCTGGCCCGCTCGAAGGTGTACGACGAAGCGAGGACTTTCCTTTCGTGCGCCGTCCTCAAAATGCCCGTGCAGCTGGGTCCTGTTCGCATTCTGTCTTTTGGTGAGCGCTCAAGGGGAGGACAATAAGGAAGGAGGAAAAGATGTAGGGAAAAAAAATGGGGGGGGGTGTCGGTTTTTTTTCACTGATGCTCTGACAAACCAGAAAGTTCTGGTTCTGAAAGCGTCGATGTATTTAATTTTCACTCCTTTCTCCCTCTTTGCAGGTAAAATTGATTTTATTCGTCCCAAGTACCATTGTGAAACGGAAATCTGGCCGTTGGGGTTCAAAGCCGCGCGCGTGGAGATGAGTCATGTTTTGCGGCAGCTTCTTGTTCTCTTCTTCGAAATTACCGAGGGAGGGGACAAAGGTCCGAATTTTAAGGTGATTCTAGAACTTTCCAAACCGCTCTCTGGTGGAGGAGGGGGTGGGGGAGGAGGGGAGGGAGGAAGTGACGGAGGGGGGGGAGGAGGAGGGCGTTTTGTGTTTCATGCACGCAATGCGAGGAAGGCGTGGGGCGACGCCTTGGACAAGCTTTGTCTGCTTGAAAAACATGAATTGGCCCGACGCAGGGCCAGGAAAAAGCGGCGTCTCGCTGTTTGCGAAGACAAAGTGAAGGAAGAAGAAAGGGAGGATGACGGGAGGAAAGCTCTCGTGGCATGCGACCCGGAGGAGGAAGAAGCGCGGCGTGCCCTGGGGAAACTGTACCGAGAGAAAGTGTTGCTGGAGAAAGAAGTCCTGAAAGAACGGTGCGAGCTCTTGGCCCAGTTGGAGGCCGACGCTAGGACGGAAGCGTACACGTGGTTGAGTCAAAGCACATCCACTGCATTGGCTTTGCCGGTGCCGCCCTTACGCTTGCGCACAGGCGCCAAGCGGGGGAAGCCCGAGAACGGACAGACAGAGGGGGAGGGTGGGGTGGAGGACGGGAGGGAGGACGCGTCCGTCAGGCCCTGGGTGGATTATCGATCCTTCTTCACCGACAGCATTCGCCGTTTGATCGAAGGTTTGCCGGGGGCGGATAAATGCAAATTGTACGAATTTGTGGACCTGCGCCGCCCTGCTTTCGGACAGGGCGGCCACAGGGAAGGGAAGGGAGGGCTGGGAGGAGGGAGAGACCCCTTGTCCGACTTGGTACCGGCGTCGGAGGGGGTGAAGGCCCTTGCAGCCGCGTCTTTTGGGCTGGAATCCTCAGCAGGGGTTGTCAATGAGACCGTAGTCTTGGCGCGGGCCAAGGCGGCGGCGGCCGCGTGGGCAGCCGCAGGTGAGGAGGAAAGGGGAGGGAAGCGTTTTAAAGGGGGGGGGGGTAAACTGGGGAGGAAGGGGTAAAGTCAAAATGGAGGGGGAGGGAGGGGACGGAGCGGTGAGAAGCGCAGAGGAAGACGCGACGTTGAAAGCGGCGAGGGAGATGGAGCGGGAGGAGCTGATCCGCCTCCGTTGCGAAGAAGTCCGGCAGCGGGAGGAGGAGAGGCGGCAGAACAAACTCATGGAGAAAGAGGAGAAGAAACGCAGCAAGGAGGAGCAGCGTTGGGAGAAGCGGATGCGTCAAGTGGAGAGGAAGCGTCGGAAGGAACGGATCAAGGAGCTGGAGCGGGAGCTGAAACGTTTGCGAATCCGGATGGACAACGACATTCAACGCCGCCGGGCGGCAGCACGACAGTTGGTCCAAGTTGGGGCCGACGCTCCGGCGGGTATGGTGGCCGTGCCTCAGCTTGCTCATGAATCCTTGATAGACGACGCGCACTTGGAAGAGACGGAGAAAGCGTTGCCCCTGCCCCCATCGTCTACACCCTCCTCGAATTCGCGCTTTTCGTCCGCCAACAACCTCCTTTCCTCTCGGACCATGGCGGACGTCCTCCAAGTCTGGGATGTGGGCTACACGCTCGCGGGGAAGATGGGGATGTCAGAGTGGCCCTCCCTCTCCCTCTTCTTGAAAGCCTTGGATGCCGCAGAAGCCTGCAAAGACCGTCATCCCACGCCCCGGGAAGAACGACGGATGCGCGTCCTTTCCGAAGTGGCACAACGCCTCACCGGCGTTCTCCTCCCCGACATCGTGCAGACCTTGATGTATTCCTCTCCTAGCCAGGGAGGAAGCGGGGCAGGGAGCGGGGCAGGCATCGACCCAGATCCGACGCTGCCGTTGAACGAAATGACATGGCCGGAGTTGGCCCGGTGGGCCTTTATGGCGCAAGCCTACCGTGTCATGCAGTTACCGGTGGATTTGGCATATGCATTGCGTGGTCGCGGTGTAGATTTCCAAA